TGGACGATTAGTGGTCATGATAGTCTTCGCTGGATGCTTGGCCTTTGTCATCTTTCCAGCTTCACAAGCTCCGCATAAGTGATCCTTGAGGAATTTGACATTCTCAATGCCAATGACATGCTTCTTCTTCGCAAGCGTGTTCAGATTCCTCATGCCAGCATTACCAAGTCGTCGATGCCATAGCCAGCCTTCTGAAGCTTTTGCAAGTAAGCACACGGCTGGTTGTGGTCCTGTAGAGAAATCAACAATATACAGATCTCCTCTCCTAAAGCCTTCGAAGACTTTCGAATGGTCAGCTTCCATGATCATAACACATCGATATCTTCCAAAGACAACAACCATATCAAGATCACAAAGCATTGAGACAGACATGAGGTTGTATCCTAAGGACTCGACAAGCATGACTTTGTCCATGTGTTGATCCTTTGAGATCGCAACCTTACCTAGACCCAATACCTGACTTTTGCCTTTGTCAGCAAAGATGATGTGCTTCAGATGTGACGGTGTTAAGGGAGCATCTATCAATAGGTTCTTGTCACCAGTCATGTGATTTGTACATCCACTATCGAGAACCCACTCGTTGACTTTGGACTGATCATCCTGCAGATGAATTAGTGCAACTTATGATCTCATATACTTCATCAGTGAAGAATATGATATCAAGTTCATCAGATGAATTTCATCAAGCAGTAAAACAGATATTTCAGTATGAGGACGTGTGAAATGAAAGTTCATTTCATCATGATTCGCCTGCGTCCTTTCAGGCAATTTTGTCAGGCCTCCAGCAATATTCTTCAGAGGTTTAAAGCACGTCTGGATACTTGACCCTGCATAAGAGATTAGTTCTTTTTCTTCACCACCCACATCTGAAGGGGTGGCAAAGAGTTCATCACTCTACGAGCACCATATGAGAATGGTGGCATAGAAGCCAATCCATTTCGTTTCACATAAGAGGGGTTAGGGTAAGCATATGAATAAGCACAGAAATTCTTCGAGGACTTATGAACATAATGATTTGAAGAATAATGTGCATATTCATATCCCTTAGCTCTACCCTGCGAAACAGAATTGTTAGCACGATGATAGTCATATGAGGACTTTGATCCATTTGAGGAATTTGATCCACATGAGGAATTTTGTCCGTATGAGGACTTGGATCCATATGAAGAATTAGGTCCATATGAAGAGTTTGATCTGGGGTTCCTATTCTTCATAGGTGGTGTCATGAGGACATTCACCTGAAGACTTTCAACATAGCTTTTGGGAACCCAGATTTTCTTCATAGGGGAACCGTTCCTGCAGTTAGTGCCAACATATCTAGCAAATACTTCACCATTCTGATTTTTGAACAGTTTATAGTTGGAGTCAAATGACTCATCAGAAGAATAAGGAGATTCACATGTAAAGCCAGATAAGTTAGATGGATCAACTGGAGGTCCCTTTGCAGCAACCCATGAGGTTTTGGGGTACTGCTCAGGCTTCTAATATGTTCCATCAGCATTGAGTTTCCTCTCAAAGGCAATACCCTCTTTCCTAGGGTTTTTGTTGAGGATCTGCTTTTTGAGCACATCACAAAGAATTTGATGCCCTTTGAGGCTTTTGTACATGCTTGTCGTGTACAATTCCTTCAGCCCTGCATTATTAGTAGTACTAGCAATGTCCTCAAATGAGGAATTAGTGATAGCAGAGGCAGGTGAAGGACTTGTAACAGTTGAAGCATTTGAACATTCAGGTGATGAATTAGCAGATTCACGTTCAATGCACTTTAAGCATGGAGGAACAAATTCTTCTTGAGTAGCGCTGATTTGTTGAGCAAGTAATGAATCACGATCCTTCTGAAGATCTTCATAACTCACTCTTAGCTTCTCAAGATCTTGCTTTCTTTGAAGAAGTTCAAGAGAAAGTTTCTCGTCATCAGATAAGAGAGCGTTATGATGACCTTGAAGATCGTCAAACTTGGAATGGAGTCCCTGAAGACTTTCAGCCAAGGCTTTTGACTGATCCATTTCTTCACCCAACATATCATCGCTCTTATTTAGCATGTAATGAACTTTTTCCAATGCTCTTTGTTGTTTAGTGGCAAGGGAAGCAAGTTTATCATAGCTAGGTCCAAATTCATCGCCAGATTCATCATCACTGGACTCGGATAGGTAGCATTCGTTTACCTTAGCACTTTTTGCCATAAGGCAGGGGTTGGACGATGATGATTCTGGTTCGAATGTCATCTCTTTGAGAGATTCCTTGTAATCATCAACCCAAGGATCATGACGATTTAGATGTCCATCATAGACCTCAGAGAGACGGTCCCAGATTAGCTTCGCGTGATTGAGATGCATGAAGTTCTTGAATTGATTTCGGGACAACTTGTGCAGATGACATCCTTCGCTGTGAGGTTGAGGAGAGTGTACTTGTGAATGTCATCAGCTTCAGCCATCTTGCATAGATCGGTAAGACCGATCTCAGTGACGGTCCATAGTTCGTTGTCCATAGCCATGAGTCGCTTCTTCATCATGGCCTTGCACCGAGGATACTCATGACCATCAAAGATGGGGCAGGAAACACTCCTCAATCCTGCAGTCGACATAACTAGAACTCCAGGTGGTTAAACCAAAATCACACAGAACAAGGGAGTACCTTGCTCTGATACCAATTGAAAGTGCGTTATATCGACTAGAGGGGGGGGTGAATAGGCGATTTTTATGAATTCTTCACTGAGGAATTTGCCGGTGAGGAAATTCCTTAGCGAAGAACTACTAGTAGCGGAATAAGTACTCAGAAGTAAGCATAATAGGATACAGACATAGTCATCATGATGAAATGAAGACAAGCACAGAGTACGGGAAGCGTAAACACATGATAGCACAAGATGAAGACAAACAGACTGAAGAAATTGAACTGAGGAAATTGAGAAAGTCTTCAGTCAAAGTCTTCAAACATAGATATAAACAATCACTCAACACAGTAATGAGGAAATGAAAGAGTTGAGGAAATAGAACTAGTAAGGTTGGTGAAGACAATGATTTGGTAGACCAGTTCCAACTGCTGTCTCAGTTGTACATCTGGTTGGAGCAGCTGAGTATTTAAACTCGAGGACACACAGTCCCGGACACCCAGTCGCTGAGCACGCAGCTCAGGACACCAAGTCCTCACCGTATTCTCCTTGAACTAAGGTCACACAAACCTCGTTCAATCACTCGTGGTAAGTCTTCAGGCGACTTCCAAACCTTCACAGACTCGGTCACTCGGCGATCCACAATTCCTCTTGGATGCTCTAGACCATGACGCCTAACCGTCTGGAAGAAGCACAGTCTTCAAAGGTAACAAGCGTCGGATCCACGCAGGATCAATCTCTTCAGTGATGCTCAATCACTTTGGGGTTTGTAGGTGTTTGGGTTTGGGATTTTCCTCACTCGATGATTTTCGCTCAAAGTCCTCGGAGGATGGGTTGCTCTCAAATGACAAGTGTCAGTTTCTCTCGGAGCAGCCAACCAGCTAGTGGTTTTAGGGGGCGGCTATTTGTAGCCTAGGGAGCAGCCCGACATGATAAGACATAAATGCCCTTGTCTGATATGGCCGTTAGGTGGATAAGATATTTTGGGACAGCTGACGTGTAGCACAGCAACGGTGGAAATTTGACTATCAAATTCCTCAGGGCTATCATGTTCCTCACTGTGTAGGTAATCCGCACTAGCGAATTCCTAACTCCTCAGTCAGAACAAATTCCTCAGCGACTAGAAGAACTTCGTCTCTGTCACTGAAGAAATTGACTGAACTGTATGAGATTTCCAAAGGCTTCACTTGAAGGGTTTGGTAGGTGTAGGATTTTGAGTTGAGCATCACATGGAAAATCTTCCTTACTATTTCCTCGACCCCCTTTAAAATTACGGTGTTTCCTATGACTCAAGAAAGAGAAAAAGAAAACTATGAAAACAAAAAATTTCAAGCTTCATATTCCTCGCATGAATATCAAGTTTTCACGGTAACACCAATTTCTTCACTTTCAAAGTCTTCATGAAAGTCTTCAGAAATACTAAAATCTTCAGTCTTAGATATTCATTTTTAGGGGTCGACTTTACCTGTAAATATCAAACTCCTCATTGACTTATAGACATGTGTACACTCACAAACACATTAATCTCTTAACCTATAAGTCTTCAATACACCAAAATCACTAAGGGCACTAGATGCACTTACAGCTACAAGATCATCCGCCAGCTTGCTACACGTGCTTACAAGCGGAAGGTAATGTGGAGCACATCCTGGCAAACTGCACTTATGCTCAGGAGGTGTGGCACAGAGTGTTCAATCTTCTTCAAATTAATTTGCATGGGCCCTAGTGGCTGATGAGTTCACGGAGTGGTGGCTTGCAGCGCGTGCGGGATTCAGCAGAGCTGATCCTAGAGGATTTGACACGATGGTGACTGCGTTGCGTGGGCCCTGTGGAAGCAGAGAAACGCTAGAGTTTTCAGCCGGACCAACAAACAGAAGACGGTGTACGATCTCCCATTCGTGATCCTGGACAAAATAGCCGAGTGGAAGATGGCGGGTGTGGGCGTCGGAGGACTAAGACGTTTCGTGAGAAGTTAGCCTAGGATAGCGAGGTGTTGGCGTCGAACGGGGTGTTTCTGGTCCTTCGTGTTCACATCAAGGATGTAATCTTGTAATTATAACTTCTCTCTCCTATAAAGCTATGGTAAGCCATCGGCGTACTCTTGAAAAAAAAAACCGGCTTGAACTTTTGTTGACGAGCCATAGCTGCATATTTTCGAGCTACATTTTGTAGAACATGAGTCATGCATGGGACGAAGGTGGCCAAAGTCCAAACTTGGCAGGCGGCAAAGTTTGCTCGTTTATCATCTTGCCGGTCCAAGATGGGCGGCAGGTTCCAGGCGATGGATGAAGACCCACCGAGTCCCACTTCCGGCTCCCAACCTCCTCTGCCCGATTCATATAAGTTTCCTGCCAAAGGCATCCTAATTCTGTCAATACCAAGCAACAACATGTGGTGGGGGTCGCTGCGGCTGCTGCTGCTGCTCGCGGCGGCGGTGGCGGCGGCTGCTGAGCCAGCGTCGACGCTCACGGGGCCGTCGCGGCCGGTGACGGTGACGCTTCGGGAAGACAGGGGCCACGCGGTGGACCTGCCGGACACGGACCCCCGGGTGCAGCGCCGGGCCACGGGCTGGGCTCCCGAGCAGATCGCCGTCGCGCTCTCCGCCGCTCCCACCTCTGCCTGGGTCTCCTGGATCACCGGTAGTAAGCTGCTCACCGGACTCTGATTCTTGGATTGGACGGCATTGATTCTTGGTTCTGCAGGGGAATTCCAGATGGGCGGCACCGTCAAGCCGCTGGACCCCGGCACGGTCGCCAGCGTCGTGCGCTACGGGCTCGCCGCCGATTCTTTGGTTCGCCAGGCCACCGGCGACGCGCTCGTGTACAGCCAGCTCTACCCCTTCGAGGGCCTCCAGAACTACACCTCCGGCATCATCCACCACGTCCGCCTCCAAGGTGACCGACTGACCGCAATTGTTCGCTGATCCCCTGCTCCACAGTCTCTCTCTCTACAGTTTTTGGAGTACAATGCAATATAAACCTGCATCATCGCAGGGCTTGAGCCTGCGACGAAGTACTACTACCAGTGTGGCGACCCGGCCCTCCCGGGGGCGATGAGCGCCGTCCACGCGTTCCGGACGATGCCGGCGGTGGGGCCGCGGAGCTACCCGGGGAGGATCGCCGTGGTGGGAGACCTCGGGCTCACGTACAACACCACGTCGACCGTGGACCACATGGCGAGCAACCGGCCGGACCTGGTCCTCCTCCTCGGTGACGTCAGCTACGCCAACCTGTACCTCACCAACGGCACCGGAGCGGACTGCTACTCGTGCGCGTTCGGCAAGTCCACGCCCATCCACGAGACGTACCAGCCGCGCTGGGACTACTGGGGAAGGTACATGGAGGCGGTGACGTCGGGGACGCCGATGGTGGTGGTGGAGGGGAACCATGAGATAGAGGAGCAGATCGGCAACAAGACGTTCGCGGCCTACCGCTCCCGGTTCGCGTTCCCGTCGACGGAGAGCGGGTCCTTCTCCCCCTTCTACTACTCGTTCGACGCCGGGGGGATCCATTTCGTCATGCTAGGCGCCTACGCCGACTACGGCAGGTCAGGGGAGCAGTACAGATGGCTGGAGAAGGACCTGGCGAAGGTGGACAGGTCGGTGACGCCGTGGCTGGTCGCCGGCTGGCACGCGCCATGGTACACCACCTATAAGGCTCACTACAGGGAGGTGGAGTGCATGAGAGTGGCCATGGAGGAGCTGCTCTACTCCCACGGCCTCGACATCGCCTTCACCGGCCATGTAACACCTTTCAATCACACCCTCTGACTGACACCGACAGGCCTACCTCCATTCTCTGGGCATTGGCAAGCGGCCGAGAGTGATCACTTGCTTGCTATCTGTGATGCAGGTGCACGCGTACGAGCGCTCCAACCGGGTGTTCAACTACACGCTGGACCCGTGCGGCGCCGTGCACATCTCGGTGGGCGACGGCGGGAACCGTGAGAAGATGGCCACCACCCACGCCGACGAGCCGGGACACTGCCCGGAACCGCGGGCCAAGCCCAACGCCTTCATCGGCGGCTTCTGCGCCTTTAACTTCACGTCCGGCCCGGCCGCCGGCAGGTTCTGCTGGGACCGGCAGCCGGACTACAGCGCCTACCGGGAGAGCAGCTTCGGCCACGGCATCCTCGAGGTACGAGGAAAACAAGATGTCAAGATCGAAGAGAATTCTGGCCAACTAGATGGTACATGTTTGACCGATGATGAGACGACGCGATCTGTTCATGCAGGTGAAGAACGAGACGCACGCTCTGTGGAGATGGCACAGGAACCAGGACATGTACGGGAGCGCCGGAGATGAGATTTACATTGTCCGGGAGCCGCACAGGTGCTTGCACAAACACAACTCGACCAGGCCGACACACGGTCGATAAAACATCACACGGAATCTGGAGTAAACCTCCCGTGTAATAATGGCAACTATTGACGGTTGGCCCAAGCGTGGAAATAAAAAACTCAATTAATAAGTGTCACACGGGTGGCACGAAACACTCTAGGCCTGACATTTTCTATGACTAAAGTTATCATCCATATAAATAAAAAAACTAGGGCTGCAACGAGTCGGCCGGCGGATGCTTCACGAGCCGTCGGATCTAACACAATCTATTGGCTAAAGGTGCTCCTGTACCTTGCAATAAAGATGTTGTTGCAGAAACAACATTTGAAACAGAGGTTATGTTGCGGATTTTTTTTCCTTTTGCAAAATAGGTTGTCTTGCGGATTTTTTTTAGCCTGGGTTGTGTTGCGGAATTTTGCAACATAAATCGTGTTGCAGATTTTTTTTCTGTCTTCCTTTCTTTTTGCAACAACGGTGATGTTGTGGAAGAAGTTTTGCAACATACGTAATGTTGCAGAAAATTTTGCAACTGAAAATAGTGAAACACCGCCGTGGTTGCCTTTGTCGAGCGAGTCACTGCCGACTTCAACAAAGCAGTAGCACCGCCGCTACTACTGTTGCAGAAGCACGCCGAGAGTCATGCCTCGTCTGAAAAAAGAAACTTGAAGTGAGGGAGTCTGCGGAGAAAAAGAGCATGAAGGGAAAGACAGCGTAGGCCTACCTCGCTGGCGAACGACGGCTGCCGGCGCGGGGCGGTGGCGAGCGCATGGCGGCGACTGGCTGGCTCGGGTGAGCTGTGGCGTTCCAAGAGCTTGTGACACTACTAGGGAAAATCTTTCTCACATCCCTAGTTCTAGTCTGACCTAGGCTAGCTTCCATGCGAGCATCATGTTTAAATTCAAATAAAATTTGAATTGAGGAATTTTCAAAGCCTCAGAAACCTTTTAAAAATAATCAACATTTAAATCTCATCAAATGAGTGCAAGAAAATGTTCCTGTTATTCTGTGAAAATATTGGTAAGAGGTAAAATTCAAACTAATATTTTTGGAATCAGAGAAATATTTATTTTGGGACTTTGAAATTAAATATATTTGAGCTTAGGATTATATTCATTTTATATAGAATATAATTCAAAAGGCCCTGAAATTATTTATATGCCTTTGGAAAAGTCCATCATGGGAACATAAAATATTTCAGAATGTTTGGCACTGTTTGGAATTCTTTTGAATTTGGAAACAGTGGCAAAATAATAATAAAAAAAAAAGAAAACTGAACAGAAATAAAACAGAGCAGACTTACCTGGCTGGCCCAGCTCCTGGCAGCCCAAGTGGCCGGCCCAGGCCACCGCCGCTGCCAGTCATCTCCCATCTCGCGCCAGAAGAACGCGAGGCGCGTGCTCGCCGCACGCAGGCGCGCCCCGGCCACCTCCTGCTTCCGTCGACTGCGTGGAGATGGCTAAGGATGCCACGCAACCCCCTGGTCACTCTCCCCCTCTCTCCCGTGTCTCTCCCTCGTCTGCCGCTCTCTCCCGAGCACCACCGAGCGGAGCTCGTCGCTGCCGCTTGCCGTAGCCACGCCCATCGTGCTCCTCTCGCCTCCCCGTGTCGTCTGCAAGCTCCGCCACCGTCCGTTACGCCGCCCCGAGCGAGCCCCGAGCGCTCGGACGCCCCAAATCGACCTCCTCGACTCTGTCTTCAAGATTCGGTCGCCAGAGATTGCCACCACCGTTCGATGACTCTAGCGCGTCCCCGAGCTCGCTGACGACGCCATCAAGATCTCTGTGAGGCCCTGACCGTTTCCCCTCTGTCTTTTCCGTTGTTCCCATGCCGTAGCCGTGCCAGCCGCCGTACCAAGCGCCATCGTCCGCCATGGACGCCGGGCATGGCGTTGCCGTGCCGCTGCACTCAAACCTACGAGCCTAGCAAGCTCCTAGCTGTCCCGGGAGGCCGCAAATACCCTCAGCTGGCCTCGCCGTACCCCGCAGCCTTGCGCCCGCTCGAGCCGAACTCCGGCCGCCGCCGCAAGCTCCGCTCCGGTGAGCTCTGACAACCCTGCATCTTCCTGTCACCTCCTCTAGATGCGCACGAGCGCCAGGAACCCACAGAGCCTCTCCGCGTGGCGTTTGGTCACCGGAGGGCGAAACTCGAGCCGTTCCGCCGTCTCTGACCTAGCCGGCGGCCTAACTCCGGCGAAAACGCCATTAGGCACTAATCTAATGATCCTCTGGGTCACTTACATGTGGGCCCATGCCCCATTGACAGTTTTAGTTAGGATTATATTAGCACTAACAGTCTCTGTTAATTAGCTAGGACACGGACATGTGGGGCCCACTGTCAGGTTTGACTCTGGTTAGGCACTGTTGACCGCTGACGCATGCATGACGTAGTGCTGACGCAGTAAATGTTTTCTAGAATTTAAATAAATCTAAATGATTTATTATTTTCAGAGAATACTCAAGACTTCTAAAAAATCATAAAAATTCAACCGTAGCTCCAAATGAAATAATTTATATATGAAAAATGATCAAAAAATCCATTCTATCCATCTGTATCATTTTCATGCATGTTTGTGCAAGTTAACCTCACTGTTTAGGATGAAACATGATTAGGGCAAATTTGATAATAGACCTGGAGTTGGAATTTGATGTAGTTTTGAATTCCACTTCAATCAAAATGACACTCTATTGCATTAGCCCAAATCACAGCATATTGCCATGTCACATTCATGCATCATGATGTTGCATTGCATTGATTGTGTTTTCTTCTCTGTTGCCAGTGTTGTTCCCCCTCGGTAGATGTATGATCCGACGATGAGTTCCATGACACCGATGAAGAGCTATATCATCTTTAGAAGTGCCAGGCAAGCAAAACCCCCTTGTTCATTCCGATGCAAACCACTCTCTCGCTTTTGCTCTCTTTTACTGCATTAGGACAACAATGATTCAACTATTACATGCTGTGGTAGTTGAACCCCTTTCCTCTGCATGACCTGTCATTGCCACAGTAAATAGATGAAACCCACTAGCATGAGTAGGAGTTGTTTGAGCCCTGATGTGCCTACTCATTCATGCTTATTTGTCATGCCTGCTACTGCTTAGAGTTGAGTCAGGTCTGATTCATCGGAGATGAATTGGAATGGTGATGAACATGTCCTATTGTATGTGAGCTAAGTGTGTGAACACAATTTGGTAAAGGTAGCGGTGAGAGGCCATGTAGGAGTACATGGTGGGTTGTCTCATTGAAACCGTCCTCAGGAACTGAGTTCTGTTTTTGTGATCCAAGAACAACTACTACCACGCATTGGGCCCAAAACCAATGGACCCTCTCGACTTATTAACCGCCCCTGTCCTCTGTCCGGGAGTTGTAAGTAGTTTTTGGTGTTTGTAGTATGCTGGAGGTCGTGCGCAGCGCTGACCTGAGGGGTCGGCTATGATGCAGTAGGCACGTGGCCCGGTGTACCAAGTCGCTCGTTTGGTGCCTCGGGAACCCTGCACACATCGTTCGGGGCTGTATGTTGAATCCTCGGCCGGACTCCTTGCGGATGGAACCTGAATAGGCAATAAACCTGGAGTAGGGACTTGTGTGGTTAGTCAGGTCGTGGCCGACACCCTCGCCAGGCTTCTGCTTGAAGGTTGCAGAGATACAAGACGCGTACATGGCGGTAAGTGGCGAGAGCGTGTGTGAAGAAGTACACCCCTGCAGGGTTAACATCATCTATTCGAATAGCCACGTCCGTCTTAAAGGACCTCTGGGTTGCCTATACAGTATAGACAAGTGAAAGTGGATACTCTAAAATGCGCAAGATAAGTGTGAGTGCTATGGATGGCATTCTCGTAGGGAGACAGGAGCGGATCCATAGTGGTGTATTGATATGGTGAATATGTGGACTCGTGTGCACCACCTCAAAAGGGTTACTTGCAGTCGTAGTTCAGGGTAGCCACAGAGTCAAAGATGTCTTGCTGCAGTTAAACTCCACCACCCCTTTGTTGATACTGATGCATATGTAGCTAGTTCTGATGTAAGTATTGTTGGGTACATTTGTACTCACGTTTGCTTAATTTATGTTTTTGCAGAGAGACTTCGGTCTCACTAGTAGTTCCCCGTGGACTTCGACGTTTAGCTTGTTACCTCAGCTACGATCTTGTGGCCTTGGGAGGATCTTGTAGATAGTCAAGCTTCTCAGCCTTTTTCATTTGTAGTTGTCTGTACTCAGACATGTTATGCTTCCGTTGTTTGTATGCTCTGAATGTTGGGTCATGAGGCCCATGTTTATAATACTTGGCTCCTTGGAGCCTAATGAATAAATACTATGAGTTATAGAGTTAAGTTGTGATTCCATGTTGTATTTGCACATATCAAGCGTATTGTGTGTATGTTATTGAAATGCTTGGTATGTGTGGGATCCGACAACCTAGTTGTTTATTCTTGG